TAACCTTTTTAGAAGCATTTTTGTACTCATTTTTCACAGAATATGTGCACGTATGTCTCAACAAAACAAAGAAAACAAACACTTTGCCGCATGTCTCGGTCGTCACCTCAAAAGTGTGTGGCGACAAGCTGCGATGTGTCCGTCTCCCGTCTCTGTCGCCTGCCTCGGTCGCGTGCAGCCAAATTGTACCTTTACAGAGCCCTGGTCTTCACGGCTGAGGGGTTGGGCGTGGGGGCTAACAACCCCACACCGTAAAGAAAGCGGCGAGTAACTGACTTAAAATCGGCCACCAATCACATATCTTTGAGGCACCCTGTATACGAGAGTGTAGGCTGTCAGAAACAGGATACAATTTATCTGCGAATCCAAACAAAAAGAATTTAATCCCGAAAGACCTGAGTTATTTCATTATACCAGTATCATATTGATATTGTCCACTCTCGAGATTCATACGAAACCCAAATGCGTTGACAAACCGCAGAGTCACCCGGTATTAAAGCAGGCGGCACATACAAAGCCCGTCACGAGGAAAAGACTCCCGCCAAGAGCTCAGGGCTCTCTTTCCCCCGACTCGAGTCAAATATCGCTCCGTTCAAACAAAATCAACTTGCCTGCTTCTTCTAATTTTCAGTTCGTCGTGCGGGCGTTAGTGGCCAGGAAAACAAGCCGAGTTCGTTGACCGGGAATAAAAAAAATAAGAAGAATAAGAAGTGAGAAGACGCATCACTGTCCAGGTCTGTTGCTAATCGCAAAAGGATTTAACAAATCTTGCTAACGCATGAGGTAGGGTAGCGACGTCAAGGAGTGGGACTATTTGGAACTCGACTTTCGTCGAATACGTCCAAATACAAGGACAAAATGTCCCATAGACTGACTAAATTCTTTTTACACACATTCTCTTTGCATGGGTGTGGAACTTGGTCTCACAATCTTTTATCAGAGGAATTTTGCTGTGTGATGATTCAACTAATAACACAAGATCCAAGGACGGATATTTTGAAGATTTCTGTCTTCTGGGTTATTGCGCTGTG